CTTTTATAGCAAGTTGTTGGCTACCGACCTAACAAGAGCTGAAGACTCTCAACTGCTCTATGCCTAACATCGTGCACCTCAGTCGAGTAGGTAAATTTCTTCAAAGGTAGACGACAATGTTCCTCACTGCTGCTTTCGCGTTCGCTTGCAAATATCTCGTGCGTTATTGCTAGCAGTAGCTGGTCAACATATCTGGGGGTAGACCGACGCAACAATGCACTAAATAACCGTTCGTTACGATGAAGCTTTTAATAACTGTAGAGGTACCCCCCCCCCAATATACTTTAAACACGTACGAGGTGTGCTCCGAAGCAAGTCAAGATACGGATGTTGTATCCACGAAACTGTCTTCAACCATTTCCTCATCCAACTAGTTATCGACAATAAGAGACGCAGTAGTTGCGAAACTTTTCTCATTGCCTACGGATATCCTGTCTGCCTTAAGAATCTGCGAGGGGTCAAACTACAAGAATGAAAGCAACTACGTCGTCGGTAAACTGGAAGACAACGGATCAGCGCCGATCGAGTTTTACGTCGAGGAGAAGTGTTTGTCGATATCATGGAGCTCTACAGCATCGGTAAGTAAGGCGGGGTACTGGATAATCATTCATACGATGCTAAAAACAAAGTGGTACAGCAGCAAGGATCACCAAGCCAGCAGCTCCAGTGGTTCAGCATTTGGAACCTCGAATACTGGTAATGGTCTCAGCGCGGGGGCGATTGTCGGAATAATGTGCGGCTGCGTTATTGCTCTACTTCTCATAACCATTGTTTACATTTCTTATGCCTGCGCCGTTCGACGGGAAAGCAAAGAGATCAGTTGACGACCACCAGAAAGCATAGAGATGAGTTGACGACCACCCTTTTATCTGACGACATGGATTCACTCCAAACTGCTAAAAGAGACTTTGATTATCACTGCCAAGCGAGTTCCTCAACATAAAAGTAAAAGTGAAGAAACTGCTGAGTCGCGGGGCTTTTGAAGAAGTCTTCATAGGTGCGCTCAATGGGCAGCAAGTTGCGATCAAAACTGCGACGCGGTCTAGCATTCCACATGCTAACGACTTCCTCACTAAAGCCCAGATGACCGCCACCACGCATCACCCGCCCATTGTGCGTTCTGTTAGCGTCGCTTGGGACTCACTTTCGGTTCTTTGTATCGTGCTCGAGTTCATGGATGGTGGTGACCTTTGTGCTCTGCTCGACAAGTATCTGGCGTCGAAGCGACAATTTGGATTTGATAAAGCAAAAGGCAACAAATGCTCTTCATGTTTGCCAGGTGCTGACGTATCTACACTCCCTCGCCCCTCAGGTGATTCACCGCGATCTTAAATCCCGTACGTCAATTGACGGATGCACGACTACAATGTAGTGTTGCGGAAGTTGACTTTTCGAAATGAGTCTTTGCAGAGAAAAAATAAATAAGTTTTCAAAAACTCTCGAAGTTTGTGAGTGCCTTCACGTTCATGAACACTTCTGCCCACCGTCTCATCTTCATGTACCCATCGTACTGGCTTTCAGTGGAGAAGTCGTGTTCATAATAGACAACCTTTCGCCATTGCGACTCTTTCTGCGGCAATGTACTCGATCGCAGCGAATTATTCCGATGGAATTTGCAGCGCCAGCACTGTGTATCAAGTTCACGCAGTCCAAGTGGCCAATTGTACGGCACAATCCTGTTCGAATGGTGACGGGTCAAGCGCTTCGAGGTCTGGCGACGTCACGTCGGCCGAGTGCTCCACTGACTATGTGGCCAACATGGCAAACATGCTGAGTAGCTTCTCCTACGTCGTCGTTCTTAGATTTGAAGACAGTAATTGCTCCACTTTGTACTACGGCTATGGGACTACAGAGCTCGGTGAATGTGTCGAGAACAAATATCAAAGAGGATACTCGATCAGTACTCTGGACGCAAACAATTCAGCTTCAATTGAGTATTTCGCCGATTCGAGTTGTTCATTGGCGTATGCATCTGAGACTGCCACTAATGCTGCCGTGATAAACCAAGAATGCAGCTCCAACAACTATGTGTGGTATACGGGAAGAACTCAGGAAGTTGTGAGTAGTAGTAGCAGCGATATCAACACCAGCTCTTGGAGCAGCAGCCACAGCGAAGATGGCGGAAAATATGCACCCATACCTGACACCCCCACTGCTGACACCCCTCCGACTTCAAAAGAGTCCTCCAGCAGTGACGTTAGTGCTCTTACCATCGTTAGTTTTGTCTTCAGCTGCATAGTGCTCGCACTGGTAGCTGTTATCATCGTGTTGTATCGACGCCTGAAGAGACAGACACCAGTCGAGAGTCGCAGTGGCCTCTGGGACGACGACACCATCACCGCAACTCGAATCCCCGCGAAACAAGATTTCCGTCGAGAAACTTTTTTGCCCGGGGAGCGTTTGGAGAAGTTTACTCGGGAGTCTTCAACCGACAGCAAGTGGCCGTCAAGATGCTGCTACCAGCCACGCGCTCCAACCCTCCAGCACGTGAATGAGTTTCTAACCGAGGCCAAGATGACTGCGATGATGGACCATCCACATATCGTCTACTACGTCGGTGTCGCGTGGGACTCGCTATCCGATCTCTGCGTCGTTCTCGAGTTCATGGACGGAGGAGACTTGCGAACACTCTTGAACAAATACGAAGCCGAGCATCATCCTGTCGGGATCGACAGACAGAAAGCCACCATCGCGCTTCACATCTGCCACGCGCTCACATACCTGCACTCGTTATCATCGCCTGTTATTCATCGAGATCTCAAGTCGCGCAACGTTTTATTGGACCAGTCGATGACGGCAAAGCTGACGGATTTCGGGATTTCACGCGAACGACTTGACAGAACCATGACGGCAGGTGTCGGGACTTCATTGTGGATGGCCCCTGAGGTGATGCTGGGGGAACGATACGGCGTGAAGGCCGATATTTTCTCACTTGGAGTTGTCTTGTCGGAGCTGGATGTTCACTCGCTGCCCTACGCACGAGTAAAGCAGCAAAGTCGCGAGACGAAGGGTCGTGAACTGGGCGACGCCACGCTTCTGCAGCGAGTGTCGACTGGGAAAATCACTGTCGAGTTTTCCTACCTGAGTCCGAGCTCGATTGTCGAGCTGGGAAGTGCGTGTGTGTCACTAGATCCAGCAGACCGGCCGACGGCAGCGGGGGCAATGTATCGGCTACAAGTCATT